CTGAGCAGGGCGGCGGAAGCGCTCTGCCCAGTGAGCTGCGGAGTGGCACTCACCGCTGGCTGTACTGCTGTTGGCAACCTGCATTACCTGCACGTTTTTTCACTAAAAGCCTACTGTTCTCTTGACATGCTCATGGACTCATCAGCTGCATCTTTTTTCGTTTTTCAAACTGGTAAGGGCAGTTGGGATTGTTTATGCTATGCATTTAAAAACCAGCAAATTCTTACTTTAGAGTGTTGCAAGTTACCTTTCACAGCTTGGACGAATGACGGTTTCTGCTCATGAAAAAAAACCAGCATTTTCTAATCTGCAGACAAAGAAGCTGATCTGTATCAGACGGAAACAGTTAAGAGTGTAAAAGAACCTCTGAAGTTACCCAACAGCTCTTTTTATTCAGTCTAATAGATAACCAGATATTTAGATAACCATTATTTGGTGCATGGCATTGCAAAGTTCTGGTTTCTGATGCTCAGGGTTTACTTCAGTGACCACTACAGGCATCTCTGAAGCGAAGCAACAGACTAAATTGCCATGGCTGTGCTAGTAGTGCCTACGTGGGGCAGTAGATGTGACTTTTGCATCTTACTCTTCCCTTCTCTACGTAAAACACAAAGCAGCACCAGCTGCCGTTCAGTTTTTTCCTAATGATTTGGCAGACGTGGAGCAAATTAACGCCTGTTTATTGATGGTCACTAGCAGGAGTATTGCAAGTTAGGCCTGTTATAATTACAGTGTATTTCCTAGTCCATTGGCAGAAAGAAGGAGTAGGGGGAGCAATATGCTTTGGAGGTATATTTTTCTTTCTGAATGTTCCTGGAAGTACTGTAGTACAGTAGATGAGTCTACGCCTCTAATTATAGATGACTTCAAGTGCTATTGAAGTCCATGTGTAGTAGTGTTACTGTTGACATGCAGCTCTTCAGTAAAAAAAAGAATGACCTCTGCGTTTTTCATTAGACAGTTAACAGATTCCTCAGAGGACTGAAATTGGCTTTTCCACTTATGACAGACTCAAGCTTTAACTTACTGCTTGCAACTAATGATGTCTTGATCAGACTGAAGTTACCCTGTTCTTTAAAACTACCAATTTAGTGGTAATCATTTCAGAGGGTGGCATAATCCTTTGCAGACCATTCAGAATATTTTGTGAAGACAGAAAAACAGTAAGACCTAATTTCTGTTAGGCGATTAATCAGCATATTTATCAGTATTTTTTTAAATCCCATGGATCTGTTGCAATGTAGTTATGTACCTTGGATGCTCTTTTGGTTTTTAGTGAGGGGGAGGGTGTACAACATTAAGATTTACCAAATGCAAGAGTTCAACAGTATCAATTATCTGATTGCATTCAGAGAGCATGTAATGTTTAAAAATTATTATTCCAGACAGTATAAGAGAACAGCAAGGCACAACCCACAGTGGTAACGCGGAAACTTGCTGAGCACCTGCTTGGAGTTTAATTAATAATGTTCATTAAGCATTATTATCTGATCCCAGCTTCTAGGTCAGGTGAATAATGTGTCTGAACAGCTCTTAAGTCCTCATGTGAGTGAGTCTGGGGTCTGTCACCTTCCAGAACAAATAGCAGGACTGACATCCACCCGTGCATGCATGTACTTGAAGAAGGAAGATCTAGCACATGGTAATTGCAATAGTTCTAGGTGTTGTGCATATGCTGATCGCATGACTGCCATCCCTCCCTTTTGTGCCATCTTTCATCATCAAAATTGACCACTGGAAGCTGTTGCCATCGATGCCAAGTTTGATGCCCATGGAAATTTAGCTGACATGATCCACAACTGACGTTTTACATGCATTTGGCAACAGGTACATGAGGAACCAGAAAGTTCATCACCTTTGATCTAGGTTCTCACCAGCAAAGTCAATTGATTAGGGTTATGCACGGACAGGAAAGCTGTGAGTGCCTTCATCAGGCACACTACTGACCTCCTGTTCAAAAATATATATAGTACAGAATATTTAAAAGAATGTCATGACAGTACTGAATAGACCTTTAACATTTTTTCTGACAGAACAGCTGTGATATTGGACTTTCTTTTAACAGCATCCCAGTGTACTGGGTTTGTGTTGCCATAGAGGACTTTATACACTGAACCATTGAGTTCATTTGGTCATGAAGTCATCAAAACCACATCTGAGTAATGAGTTCAGTTGCATACATGGGGAGATTCAGCAAAATCTAGCACACATTGCAGTCATATCATTAAAAAAACTCCACAAACCCAACAGCAAACCAGAGACCACTGAGCTGTCGCAGACCCTCAAAATCCAAATTGCTGGCTTACAACAGTTTCACTTTTTACTCTGACATCTTTCCAATTCTAATAGATTCTATCTTTTGGTACATGAAATTGCTGTGCAGTTCAGATAATATTAGTATTATGCATGCCATTAAAATAAGACTTAAGCATTACGTGTTTGAACATCAAAAACCAAAAACAAAACCCTGAAGGCCAACAACACCTCTTCAGGTTCTTTAGATGAGGTATTTTTAGACCATCATCACCTTTCCCACTATTTTTCTTTCTGTGCTTTCAGGACAAAGGGGCATTGCTTAATGTTGATTCTGCAGTGTGGCAGAATCATGTGACTGATGGACATGAACCTTTTGTTGTGTTTTTCTCACTTGTGATCCACCAACAGTAATACTCAGAAAGGGATTTTATTATCTTGCAGCTGCCACTCTAGATTCTGAAGAAAAGAGGCAGCCCTTCCAGACTTGCAGAGGCAGAAAACTACTGTAAAATCACATAACTTAAAAAAAAAAATTAAATAACATAGCACAAGTGTCAATTCTACCTTGTGCATTTCCTAGTTTATTTGCATGAATTTACACCATTAAAGCTAGTATTTTAATGTAGTTTGTACAGATCTTAATAAATTAGAATGTAAATAGAGTTCTGATTTTACAAGCAAGAGCTGGGTATTTAAGTGTTGTAGTATGAAAAAAGTCATAATATTAAATATTTACTTTGTAACTACATATTTTACACTTTTTTTGTTTCAAAGTGAGATGTGAAAGCAGATAAAATTAATGTCAACAATTTACAGTTTTCCAGTATTCACTCAGTACTCTAACCACAGGAAATTTCTTTGTTGTAACATGGGTCAGGGTACTGAAAAATTAATGCAAGATAATGCTTGTACAAAGCTTCACTTAGCATTTAATATGGATTGACAAAATCATGCGGAATTTATTTTTTTAACTTTCTTTTCCACAAATCACATGTTTAGTAGTCATTGTTGACGTCAACAGTCAACAATAAATTGATCAGAAACCATCAGATAATAGTAACATAGCATTACAAAATGTTTCAGAATATGTTTGTTTTGTTGATTTTCTAAACAGCATAATATATCTCTACAGTAAAATATGACTTATTGCTAAAATTTTCCTTTCTAAAATAGTATCTTGGAAATTTGAGCATCTTAGTAAATTAGAACATTGTTTAATGCTAGTGGCTTTCTTTATAAGCATTTAAGCAGGGAGTTTAATCACTGAAAGGAAAAAAAAGCTTCAAAGGATGCCTACTTATTTG